TTTCTCCAAACTCTATAAGGTTGGTATTCAAAGCTGTGACATTTGATTGTTACATGCTTGTGTTTTCAAGACAAATTTTGAGGCTATATCCTGTTTTATTTAGGTTTCACTTTAAGTCACTTTGACTATCCAATTTACAGAAAGTAGAAGTGGAGATAATGAGCTCTACTTTGATGTCTCCAGTGTGACTTCCCAATAACTGTCTCTTTTCAGCTAGAAGAAAGAGTGTGAGATGAAATCTCAGGCTGATTCTTTTCTTTTTCTGATTTGTGTCTTGAATCTACATTCAGCTGGCTTCTTTAAAACTGTCATTCTCCTCACAGAGACAAAAAGGACACTTTATATCTTTCCATCTGTTTGTGTCATCTTCAATTTCTTTCATCAGCATCTTACTGTTTTTGGAGTACAGGTCTTTTGCCTCCTTAGGTAGGTTTATTCCTAGGTATTTTATTCTTTTTCATTCAATGGTAAATGGGATTGTTTCCTTCATTTCTCTTTCTGATCTTTCATTGTTAGTGCATAGGAATGCAACCTAATTTTGTATCCTGCAACTTGACTGAATTCACTGATGAGCTCTAGTAGTTTTTCTGGTGGTGTCATTAGGATTTTCTATGTATAGTGTCATGTGATCTGCAAACAGTGACAGTTTTACTTCCTCTTTTCCAATTTGGATTCCTTTTATTTCTTTTTCCTTTCTGATTGCCATGGCTAGACTTCTAAAACTATTTTGAATAAAAGTGTTGAGAGTGGGCATCTTTTTCTCGTTCCTGATCTTAGAGGAAACGCTTTCAGTTTTTCACCATTGAGTATGATGTTAGCTGTGGGTTTGTCATATATGGCCGTTATTATGTTGGACTTTCTGACTTGCTTCTAACAGTTTCCTTTAATATAATTAAGATGAGGCAAGAGTCATGCCGGCTTTCTTCCTGCTGTATTCCCAGAATCTACCACAGAGGCAGATCCACCAAACATACTCCATAAATACTTGTTGAATGGCTAATTGAACTTCTACTCTCGCTTATAAATTTAATCTCCACAAAAAATTCATTCGAAAAACACTTTGAAAATTAATTTAGAAATACTGGCATTCATCTCCTTTTCATTTCTTTTCATGAATTAATTTATTAACAAATGCTTACTGGAAAAGCATATTAATTAAGTGTTTAAAGGTAAAGAAATACAAATCAGAAGAAAGGACTCAAATTCTGGCCACATTATATATTATCTAAGTGACCTTGGCAATTAATTCATTGCTTCCAGCTTCAGACCTCTCATTTATAAAATGGGATAAAAGCTCTTATCTTCAGGGGTTTTATGAGAATGAAATGGATACCATATGCAAAGTTAGGGCCTGGCACTGATTGGTGGTTCTTAATAACATTATCAAGTGTGTAGGATTCTGTGTTAGGATCCAAATATGAACAAGACAAACCGGCTGAGATGTTAACAAATTAGTCCTGGGAAAGAAAACATTAATACAAATAATATCAGTATCAGTAGCATAACAAAGGCACAAGAAAAGCATAGAAGGCTGTTTTAAAATATGTTTTATTATTATTCAGGTCATCAGATCAGGAGATAACTGCCATTGAAAAGATAGCTTGTTTTACTGACAGATTCCCAAGAAAAGTGTCATGCAACACCACAGGACAGTAAGGGCACATGGGAAGCGCTGGGTTTGTCAGGAGGGTGGGGCAAGTGAGTGGGCAGGAGCCTTTACTCAAACTTCCCAGGAGTTTTCCATGGGAAGGGGTGGGGAGACAGGGTAAGCAGGTTTAGGATAGGCTAGTTTGAATAATTTCAGTGGGCTCTGGGGTGTAGGGACTGTCCCTAGTTGTGTGGTACCTGCCTGGGCCCGGGGGTGATTGAGGCAGGTGGACAGTGGCCCGGTGGGGGACAAGGACTCCCTGAAGGAGGTGGTTGGCAGTGTGGGCTCTGGATTGGTTGGTTTGCATATGAAAGGTACACTCCCAGGTGAGCCATTTGGTATCTCTAGTAATTAGCTAGCCCTGGGAGGGGCAGTCCCTCCAAGGTCAGCAAGCCTCTAAAATGTCAAAGCATCAGAAATATGGAATAAAAAGACATGACTAATACATGGGCTCAGAATGCAAGAAGCATGGGAGTAGCCAACTCCGAGTCTCTTTTCAGGTCTGACTGTACCCCCAATCCTCTTGTTCTTTACAATCAGAGCACCCTATTAGCTTCTTCATAGGACTTACTACTAGCTCTTATTTGTTTATCTGTTTATTGTCTGTTTATCCCATACACTGTCAGCTCCACAAAAGCAAGACATTTGCTTGCCTCATTTACTACTCCAGTCTTAGTTCCTGACAGTGTCAGGCACAGAGCAGATGCTCAATAACTATTTGTTGAACAAAAGAAATGAAAACAGTAGTGCTTGAAGGTTATGTGATATCTGTCTGTTCACGTGCACATATTACTGTTCATATATGTGTAAGCATGTGGACATTTGTGTTTGTGAGTGTGACAGAGAGAGAGAGAGAGAGAGTCTGTGGGTGTGTTTGTGTGTGTGTGTGTGTGTGTGTGTGTTTTGCATGGAGGAGGTTCTAGCCTTTAGTCTAAGCCATCCATGTTTACTACCAGGTTTTGGTCAAGACAATGTCTGGTTGACTATTAGATGGGCCCACCAGAAATCTATTAGCGCTTCCTGGGAAAGAACTGAGGTCTGAGGAACTTCCTGGGAAAGAACTCACCTCCAGGACCAGCAGATAAGCTGGAGACAGTGCCACACACTTCAGGGGTAGAAAGGGAGAAGCATCCGTGTGTGTGTATTGCTCTATTTCTCTTGGATTGGTCCAGCTCCTTGTGGACTCATAACTTGGCAGTTGCGAGAGAGAGGCTATGTTTCCAAACAGAAATATCTGTTTTTTGCCAAAAACGCTACTATATTTTAGTATGCTGTGTTAGTCAGAACATAGCCAGAAAGTCAAAACCATGCCAGGTGATCAAACAGGAAAAATTTAACTTGAAGGATAATTTACAAGTTGCTAGAAAGGCAGTTAAAGCAACCAGGGGAAGGGCGAGTCAACTCTGAGATTATAAAGTGCAGGAAGCTGCTACTACTTCTTTGCCGGGAGGGATAGGGAGAGCAGGTTGGGCCCAGGCTGGGGCTGCACCGTGGAAGCCGGATTGATGGTGGGACTGCCTGGTGTGTGTGGGACCGCAGATGAAAGGGCCTTTCTGGAAGGAGCTGGAGCCGTGGAGAAGTGGCTGTCACTGCCCGAGATGTCTCCTGAAGCAGAGAGAGGGAGAAGCACCCTGATTTCTCCCTTTCTCTCCCCTCCAATCTTTCCCAGTGCCTCCCGTTAGCCGATCCTAACCAGAAAGCAGTTGGCTGGGAAGTCTGGAGACCACAGTTTGTAAAACTGAGCTTCCTATAGTGCAGGGCAGAGGCGGGGACATGCACAGAAAGGATGTGAGAGCAAAATGGAAACAACCAGCAGAGATGAGGGCAGTACAGTTTTCGTATCCTATAGAAAGGTCATAACATAAAAATAAAGGATGGCATCAACTCACCACCACTTTACCACACACAACCTTGGCCCTGTGAGAGTTCTGGAACATCAACATCCCTGGCTAGGTGATAGTTCTCCAGGAAAAACTGAAGCCGTCTGTGGCAGAGAAAGCAGTAGAAGGGGCAGGATTGCGTACGTGTGGCAGTAATACATGATCTCCTCCATGCAGTTTATAATGTAGCAGAAAACTAAAGAAATGGCAGTTATAACTCGGTAATGTACACAAATGAATACCAGGTGACACTTGTTAGGTGTTAATCTTGGTTTGGTACAGTTATATCCTGGATCTACATAACTACATTAAATCCTCATAACAATAACACACCCTCAAGTGGGGCCCCAACTCCTGGCCTTGCACCTAGAGGGGACTATGCCTTGACGTATCTTCCTCACAATGTTCTGAGTACCCCTTCAGTGGCAGGGGGAGTCTGGGGCCAGCAATGTCATTTGGTCAGGGAGCTCCGAGCTGGGACTGGGATCCACCTGGACCCTGGATCTTATTTCTCCCCTTCAAGTGTCGTTCTTTCTCTCTTTCCGGTACCAGATACCCCAAGGAACGCTAGGACTTGGGCTTACAAATAGGGTCATCCTAGGGCCCCATGGCTGAGTACTGGTTGCAGGAGGGCAGCCTTGCAAGCAGATTGTTCCTGTGGTCAGCACAATATTTCTTTTGCATGATTACAAGGGACTGGACTGCCAGAAGGGTACTGACATGCATATTTTGGTGACCCAAGTTGTTCATATAGATGGGGTGTTGTAAAAAAATTTTTTTTCTCAGGGTCACACACCTTTGAGACCATCTTGCTGTTAGCTGTTAAATGTCCCATTTTAGATGAGGAGGACAATACTATAGAATAAAATACGTCAAATCTAAGGTTACACAAAGAGTAAATATTGAATCCCAGGTTTTTAAAAAGGCATTTTGATTTTCGATCCTGAGCTATATGAGAACACAGAGAAGGCATGACCCTGGGTGTTCCCCAAATAAGTGGGAGACACTAGAACTGGTAGAAGATCTTGCCATAGTAGATGTGTGAACAGGGATGGGGTGGGTGGAGGTAAATTCCAGAGAAATGTGGCACTAAATGCCAATAAGCTGAGTCTGTATTATTTCAGGGCTAAAGGGACGTCGGGATTACGCCTACAACTGTCGAGCTCATCAGTTAATGTGTTTCTCCAAACTTTATTAGGAAACTGGAGGAAAGCAACAGAATTTTCACCCTCTTTAATCCCAATATGAAACCTTCCCTTCTTTTCAGAGTTCTTCCAGAAGGACTTTTATTTATTTATTTATTTATTTTTTATTTTTTTCAGAAGGACTTTTAGAGCTCTTTGCTTCCCACCCGCAACTCTGTGTAAGAGCTTATGCAAGAGATCCTTGAGAGTGTTTTAAGATAGGGCTTTGTTTCTCATGGGAACATGAGGGAAAACGGAAAAAACCTCCAATTTGTTTAGTGAGAAAACATGACCTCCATGCTTTTCTTCCCTGGGGCGAGTCAAGTGGTCGTGACTGAAATTCAGGTCCCTGTTTGGTGTATAAATATGGGTGTGTGCAAAAGCCACTGCCACACTTGGTACAGCAAGGGGAACCACTGGCTTGGTGGGCTCATTAGGTTTTCCAGTTTAATCTTAAACTCCAGGTAAATATCACAGACAACATACAATAAAGCTGGTCACTGTGTTCCTGCTGGTGACCATCAGCATTTGCAGTTACTCTGGTAAGTAGCCGGGAACATATGATATTTCTCTATTTTTCTGTTAACAGGAACACAACTATTAAGCCTAGGCTCCCAGTGGAATATGGTGGAGGGAGTTTTAGAGCCACAGAATAGTAAGGTCAGAAGGGACTTCAGATGCCCCCTGCTCCCAGCTCCAAGCTCTAACCCAATACAAGTACCATCCCTGGTGTATCCTACAAAGAAGTTAACCAGCTACCACAGAGGTTCAACAAACGCACTTCATTATTGAACTTTGGCCACCATTAATTTTCCTTAATTTTGAGTTAAGATCTGATTTTGTGACTTCTTTCTTTTATGTTTCTGAAACTATATGGAGTCATTCTTGCTATCATCTCTAATCAGATTGCAGCATTGGTTCTCTTGAGACATAGCTACATTTATCTGTTCAGACAATCAATGGGTATTTGCTGAGTGGCTATAAGCTGTTGGTCACTGGATAGGCATTAGAAGATTCAGACCTGAATCAGACATAAATATTGTTCTCAAGGTTCTTACAGTCTGGCAAGGGAGAGAAGACTTCTACAGAAGTCACTGCCGTACTAGACCAGTCATTAATGCACAATGACAATACAGATAGAGCTCTGTGGGAGAGCTGAGGGGTGAACAGTTCCATTTCTAGGTAGGGTATAGAGTCTGATTTCTTGGAGGAGAATGGAAACTGATCCTTTCTTTTTGGAGGGAGTCACATAGGAAGAGATATTTGGGCGCATCTGCAAAATCCATCATAATGGCCGCTGCTCATTTGGAGAACAAAAAGCTTTGAGGGTCTCCCCCCTGGAATATGTAAGTACGTACAAAGAAGACACTCACCAAAGTGTTGAAAATAAGAAGTACGGAGATTAATCGTGAGAAACTGTGTGATACCCATGCCTACATTGGCAACTTTGGCTTGTGAATTTTTTTTGAATTTTTGAACTGATTTGTAACTTCACCAGTTTTGGCTATTTTGTTGTCCTTTAGTGTCTAAGGACACATGGGAAGACGTGGCAGCAGAAAGATGGGTGGAGGGGAAATAAATATCCCCCTTCTGGGGGAGAGTTTTGGAGGGAAAATGGGTGGTAGAAGATGAAGGGGAAATAGGTGCGCAAGCTCCATTTTTAAGATTTGAACGGGAAAATAAAAAGTATTACAAAGAGAATGAAGTACTGGCAGGGTCTTAGCCAGCAGGAGGATGTGTGTCTTATGTGTGTGCTTCTGCATGTATGTATTTATACATACACAAATGTGTTTTGTAAAAATATGTATCATAAGCATTTTCCTCATTCTCTAACCTCTTCTGTGTGAAAGTTATCTTTCTAAAGCTGAAGATATAAAAATGCAATTATTCCATATAAGAGCCTTGATAGCTCCCCATTACCCTTGGGAAAAAAAATCTCAAACTCATCTGTATGACATTCAAGGCTTTGAAAATCCGCCCCACCCAAGTTGCAGCCTAACCTTCTTTATCCCTCCTTAGCACACCACACTGGAATTCTGAAGAAGACTCACCATCCTCTGTATGCACTTTCACCTTAATATCTCAATGCCGTGGTTAATTTTGTTCCTCTTTAAAATGCTGCTCCCCTTATTTACCTGTGATCCTGGCATTTGCCTCAAGACACATCTCTTGCAACATCTGTTCTTGGAAGATTCCTGTAGCATTCTCCTAGGTTAGAATTAATCATCACTTCTTTTGTGTTTCCATAGAGCTTTGTCCATAATATTAGCATAGCACATGCTGCACTGTGGCATACACAAATCTTTATTTTCCACCAGACTGTGTGAGTTCTCTGAGTGGAATATCTTGTTTTATTCATCTGTGTATCTGCACCAACTGACATAGAGTCTGTGTTCACTTATGTTTGTAGCATTGAGTTGGACTGGTAGGGAGCAGTTTCCTGGGCTGTGGTTGGGTCCATTCACATCTCCAAGTGGAGGTTCATTATGGCATCTTCCCTTTGGTTTCAAGCTTGTGGGCTATGGAGACAGCCACATGCAAACTATACTCCCATCTAGTCAATCACCAGTATCTTTTGAGTGCTTACTATATGCCCGGGTCTGTCCTAGGCGTGGGTGATGGTAGTGAATAAAACTCAAATTTCTTATTCTCTTGGATCCTACATATTAGTGAGAGGATGAAGGCAAAGTAAAGAAATGAATAAAGATTTAATACTTTAAGTAGTGGTAAGAAAAAATAAAGGTAGAGGGTGACGGGTGATACCATTTTAGATACATCTCTGAGAATGTAACATCTGAGGAGAGACCAAATAAGGAAGGAAGAAAGGCATGTAGTTATCTGGGGAAAGAAAGTTCTAGAGAGATGGAATGGGAGGGGCAAAGGTCCAGAAGCAGATGTTTTCTTGAGAAATCAAGATGAGTAGGGCTGGAATGGAGCCATTGATGGAGAGAGTGGAAGGTGGTGAGGTCATAGGAACTGGAATTGCCTTGTTTTACCTGGGATCTCTTGCTCCGCAGCTACCGCCTTCCTCATCAACAGTTTGCCACTTCCTGTCAAGAAGGCTTTACCTTTACCTCTGGACAATGTTCTCCCAGTCATGGACCCACTTAAGCTTCTTCTGAAAACTCTGGGCATTTCTGTTGAGCACCTTGTGGAAGGGCTAAGGAAGTGTGTGAGTGAGCTGGGACCAGATACCTCTGAGGCCGTGAAGAAACTGCTGGTAACTACAGCTTGTGGGGCTGACTCATCAAAGGGCAGGGCTTAGTCACCGTGAGTGCCCACCCTCTCCACCCACTCCCACCCCACCTTGTTCTCATTTGTGAACCTGTATTTTCCCCTTGCTTACTGTACTCATATACGTTTCACATGTCCTGGAATCTCAAGGAAAGTGCAATATCCACAGTTCTAGAAGGAATTTTTGAATGAGGGAGACGTATGCTAGTCGTGAAATGTCTGCCACTTCCAGCTTTGTGATTCTGGATGGGACTTAACCACTCTGAACTTTTGTTTCTTTGTAAGTAAAATGGTAGCGAAATAGGATAGTGACTATTTTTGGAGATGTGCTAATGATATGTAAGCTGCTCTTATTTTAAATATTGCCTTTTTGACTTTCAGGAGGCACTCTCATATTTGGTGTGACAGCAGAAAAAAGCAAGAGTGGAGGAGGGAGGGAGATGATGCTCTCCTCCACCCTGGCTGAAACTCCTTCCATCCTAAAATTCAGTGACCCCCGAAAAGAATGAATAAAACAATGAACAGACTTCAGTTTGTGCTATTTTTATTTGGGAAGCTCTATTCAGAAGGGCCTAACTAGATAATTTTTTCCTTGTGTTATAAACTCTAGAGAGCCTGTTGTTATAAAGATAGCTCGCATTTTCGGTAAGGAGTAATGATTTTTTCCATCTCCTTATCTCTAACTTGAATGTCTCCATTTTCTTCAACTGTTGTTTATCTGACAATGTTTCCAGATGCCTTATGTTCCTATTTCCCTACTTCTAAAGAATTTTTTTCATCTTTATTGGAGTATAATTGCTTTACAATGGTGTGTTAGTTTCTGCTTTATAACAAAGTGAATCAGTTATACATATACATATGTTCCCATATCTCTTCCCTCTTGTGTCTCCCTCCCTCCCACCCTCCCTATCCCCCCCCTCCAGGCGGTCACAAAGCACCGAGCTGATATCCCTGTGCCATGCGGCTGCTTCCCACTAGCTATCTACCTTACGTTTGTTAGTGTATATATGTCCATGCCTCTGTCTCGCCCTGTCACAGCTCACCCCTCCCCATATCCTCAAGTCCGTTCTCCAGTAGGTCTGTGTCTTTATTCCTGTCTTACCCCTAGGTTCTTCATGACATCTTTTTTTCTTAAATTCCATATATATGTGTTAGCATACGGTATTTGTCTTTCTCTTTGTGACTTACTTCACTCTGTATGACAGACTCTAGGTCTATCCACCTCGTTACAAATAGCTCAACTTCGTTTCTTTTTATGGCTGAGTAATATTCCATTGTATATATGTGCCACATCTTTATCCATTCATCCGATGATGGGCACTTAGGTTGTTTCCATTTCTGGGCTATTGTAAATAGAGCTGCAATGAACATTTTGATACATGACTCTTTTTGAATTTTGGTTTTCTCAGGGTATATGCCCAGTAGTGGGATTGCTGGGTCATATGGTAGTTGTATTTGTAGTTTTTTAAGGAACCTCCATACTGTTCCCCATATTGGCTGTACCAATTCACATTCCCACCAGCAGTGCAAGAGTGTTCCCTTTTCTCCACACCCTCCCCAGCATTTATTGTTTCTAGATTTTTTGATGATGGCCATTCTGACTGGTGTGAGATGATATCTCATTGTACATTTGATTTGCATTTCTCTAATGATTAATGATGTTGAGCATTCTTTCATGTGTTTGTTGGCAGTCTGTATATCTTCTTTGGCAAAATGTCTATTTAGGGTCTTCTGCCCATTTTTGGATTGGGTTGTTTGTTTTTTTGTTATTGAGCTGCATGAGCTGCTTGTAAATTTTGGAGATTAATCCTTTGTCAGTTGCTTCATGTGAAATATTTTCTCCCATTCTGAGGGTTGTCTTTTGGTCTTGTTTATGGTTTCCTTTGCTGTGCAAAAGCTTTGAAGTTTCATTAGGTCCCATTTGTTTATTTTTGTTTTTATTTCCATTTCTCTAGGACGTGGGTCAGAAAGGATCTTGCTGTGATTTATGTCATAGAGTGTTCTGCCTATGTTTTCCTCTAAGAGTTTGATAGTTTCTAGCCTTACATTTAGGTCTTTAATCCATTTTGAGCTTATTTTTGTGTATGGTGTTAGGGAGTGATCTAATGTCATACTTTTACATGTACCTGTCCAGTTTTCCCAGCACCACTTATTGAAGAGGCTGTCTTTTCTCCACTGTACATTTCTGCCACCTTTATCAAAGATAAGGTGTCCATATGTGCGTGGGTTTATCTCTGGGCTTTCTATCCTGATCCATTGATCTATATTTCTGTTTTTGTGCCAGTACCATACTGTCTTGATTACTGTAGGTTTGTAGTATAGTCTGAAGTCAGGGAACCTGATTCCTCCAGCTCCTTTCTTCATTCTCAAGATTGCTTTGGCTATTTGGGGTCTTTTGTGTTTCCATACAAATTGTGAAATTTTTTGTTCTAGTTCTCTGAAAAATGCCAGTGGTATCTTGATAGGGATTGCATTAAATCTGTAGATTGCATTGGGTAGTGGAGTCATTTTCACAATGTTGATTCTTCCAATCCAAGAACATGGTATATCTCTCCATCTATATGTATCATCTTTAATTTCTTTCATCAGTGTCTTATAATTTTCTGCATACAGGTCTTTTGTGTCCTTAGGTAGGTTTATTCCTAGATATTTTATTCTTTTTGTTGCAGTGGTAAATGGGAGTGATTTCTTGATTTCACTTTCAGATTTTTCATCATTAGTGTATAGGAATGCCAGAGAATTCTATGCATTAATTTTGTATCCTGCTACTTTACCAAATTCATTGCTTAGCTCTAGTAGTTTTCTGGTAGCCACTTTAGGATTCTCTCTATATAGTATCATGTCATCTGCAAAGAGTGACAGCTTTACTTCTTCTTTTCTGATTTGGATTCCTTTTATTTCCTTTTCTTCTATGATTGCTGTGGCTAAAACTTCCAAAACTATGTTGAATAAGAGTGGTGAGAGTGGGCTACCTTGTCTTCTTCCTGACCTTAGTGGAAATGTTTTCAGTTTTTCACCATTGAGGACGATGTTGGCTTTGGATTTGTCATATATGGCCTTTATTATGTTTAGGAAAGTTCCCTCTATGCCTACTTTCTGCAGGGTTTTTATCATAAATGGGTGTTGAATTTTGTCAAAAGCTTTCTCTGCATCTATTGAGATGATCATATGGTTTTTCTCCTTCAATGTGTTAATATGGTGTATCACGTTGACTGATTTGCATATATTGAAGAATCCTTGCATTCCTGTAATAAACCCCACTTGATCATGGTGTATGATCCTTTTCATGTGCTGTTGGATTCTGTTTGCTAGTATTTTGTTGAGGATTTTTGCATCTTTGTTCATCAGTGATATTGGCCTGTAGTTTTCTTTCTTTGTGACATCCTTGTCTGGTTTTGGTATCAGGGTGATGGTGGCCTCGTAGAATGAGTTTAGGAGTCTTCCTCCCTCTGCTATATTTTGGAAGAGTTTGAGAAGGATAGGTGTTAGCTCTTCTCTAAATGCTTTATAGAATTCGCCTGTGAAGACATCTGGTCCTGGTCTTTTGTTTGTTGGAAGATTTTTTTTTTTTTTTTTTTTTTGCTGTACGCGGGCCTCTCACTGTTGTGGCCTCTCCTGTTGTGGAGCACAGGCTCCGGACGTGCAGGCTCAGCGGCCGTGGCCCACGGGCCCAGCCGCTCTGCGGCACGTGGGACCCTCCCGGACCGGGGCACGAACCCGTGTCCACTGCATTGGCAGGTGGACTCTCAACCACTGCGCCATCAGGGAAGCCCCTGTTGGAAGATTTTTAATCACAGTTTCAATTTCAGTGCTTGTGATTGGTCTGTTCATATTTTCTATTTCTTCCTGATTCAGTATTGGCAGGTTGTGCGTTTCTAAGAATTTGTCCATTTCTTCCAGGTTGTCCATTTTATTGGCATAGAGTTGCTTGTAGTAATCTCTCATGATCTTTTGTATTTCTGCAGTGTCAGTTGTTACTTCTTGTTTTTCATTTCTAATTCTATTGATTTGAGTCTTCTCCCTTTTTTTCTTGGTGAGTCTGGCTAATGGTTTATCAATTTTGTTTATCTTCTCAAAGAACCAGTTTTTAGTTTTATTGATCTTTGGTATTGTTCCCTTCATTTCTTTTTCATTTATTTCTGATCTGATCTTTATGATTTCTTTCCTTCTGCTAACTTTGGGGTGTTTTTGTTCTTCTTTCTCTAATTGCTTTAGGTGCAAGATTAGGTTGTTTATTCGAGATGTTGCCTGTTTCTTAAGGTAGGATTGTATTGCTATAAACTTCCCTCTTAGGACTGCTTTTGCTGCATCCCATAGGTTTTGGGTTGTTGTGTCTCTGTTGTCATTTGTTTCTAGGTATTTTTTGATTTCCTCTTTGATTTCTTCAGGGAGCACTTCGTTATTAAGTAGTGTATTGTTTAGCCTCCATGTGTTTGTATTTTTTACAGATCTTTGCCTGTAATTGATATCTAGTCTCATAACGTTGTGGTCTGAAAAGGTACTTGATACAATTTCAATTTTCTTAAATTTACCAAGGCTTGATTTGTGACCCAAGATATGATCTATCCTGGAGAATGTACCATGAGCACTTGAGAAAAATGTGTGTTCTGTTGTTTTGGGATGGAATGTCCTATGAATATCAATTAAGTCCATCTTGTTTAATATATCATTTAAAGCTTATGTTTCCTTATTTATTTTCATTTTGGATGATCTGTCCATTGGTGAAAGTGGGGTGTTAAACTCCCCTACTATGAATGTGTTACTATCGATTTCCCCTTTTATGGCCGTTAGTATTTGCCTTATGTATCGAGGTGCTCCTATGTTGGGTGCATAAATATTTACCATTGTTATATCTTCTTCTTGGATCGATCCCTTGATCATTATGTAGTGTCCTTCTTTGTCGCTTGTTATAGTCTTTATTTTAAAGTCTATTTTGTCTGATATGAGAATTGCCACTCCAGCTTTCTTTTGGCTTCCATTTGCATGTAATATCTTTTTCCATCCCCTCACTTTCAGTCTGTATGTGTCCCTAGGTCTGAAGTGGGTCTCTTGTAGACAGCATATATATGGGTCTTGTTTTTGTATCCATTCAGCCAGTCTGTGTCTTTTGGTGGAAGCATTTAGTCCATTTACATTTAAGGTAATTATCGATATGTATGTTCCTATTCCCATTTTCTTAATTGCTTTGGGTTTGTTATTGTAGGTCTTTTCCTTCTCTTGTGTTTCTTGCCTAGAGAAGTTCCTTTAGCATTTGTTGTAAAGCTGGTTTGGTGGTGCTGAATTCTCTCAGCTTTTGCTTGTCTGTAAAGGTTTAAATTTCTCCATCAAATCTGAATGAGATCCTTGCTGGGTAGAGTAATCTTGGTTGTAGGTTTTTCTCCTTCATCACTTTAAATATGTCCTGC